CGGGGGCGGGGGCGGGGTGCCCAGGAGGGATGCCCCTGTGTGGGCGGGGAGGGAAGCTCACATTTATGGGAGGAGACGCTCCCTGCCCAGAAACCCCATACAGGGTCTGGGGGCCAGTGGGTGGAGTGTCTGATGTCCTAGAGTCTCACCCGCTTCCCCTCTCGGCGTGAATATCGGGGCCTGCTGTGCGCCATAAATGGCCATAAGGAGATGAAAATCCCTGCGCGCAAGCCTGGAGGAGGAGGCAGTGAACGCCGGTGAGGAAGCAAATGGTTTCGGCTGCAGTGGACACAGGAAAGAAGGGACAGAGGGACGGGATGGGCAGACGGGGGGCCGGGGGAGGGCAGGAGGCAGAACGGGGCTTCTCTAGGGAGGCCCCAGAGAAGGGGACGTGAAGGCTCGGAAGAGTCGAGCGAGAAGGCCCTGCAGTGTGTGGGGGAATGGTGCCCGGAGGGGGTGCAGCCGGTGCAAAGGCCCGGGGGTGGGGGCATGAGGGGGAACGCCGATGGCTCAGTCGGCCCCCGGGGAGGGGAGACTGAGGGGAGAGAGTGGGAGGCACGGAGGGCAGAGGCGGGACATGGCCTGACTTGGGTGCTCACAGGACTTTACAGGTGTTTTGAAAACATCCACGTCATTATGGGGGTCCCCGCAAGGCTCACCTGCAGCAGACAGATGTCATTGGCGTGGGTGGCGGGCTGGTAGTCCGGGTGCCTGACGACAGCCGAGATGCCGAGCACCTGTTGTGTGGGCTCCGAGCTGTGCAGGACGTGAGCCCCCAGCACCACCAGGCCCGTCCGGGGGTCCCTGCAGGGGGCGGGGGAATTGAGGGCGAGACTGGGGTCTCCGCGTGCCCCACGGTCGTAATTACGTTTATTTCCGTTTCCACCTCAGTTACAGCGTTCACCCAGATTGTCGCGATATTGTCATTAATAAATATGAGAACGAGGTGCTTGGGACGGATGCCATCCGACTGTAACGTGGCAGTTCTCGCCTCGGCGAAACGACTGCCTCGAGTGCTTTCAGTGTTAATGGCTGTGGTTATTCAACAGGAAACTCAGAGCGGACACAGGGCTGTCGCCCCGGCTGCGGTCACACCGTCACTCCTTACACACTTTTCTCGCCAAGCCCCCCCTTGCTGCCTGGAGCTGGGGGCCTGGGGCCCGAGCGGCAGCGGGGGGGGGGGGCGGCCCCGGGGTGGCTCACCTGTGGTTGAAGCAGTGGGCGGCGGAGACCACCCAGCGGGCGCGGAGCAGGAAGCCTCCACAGTGGTGCTGGCCCGCGAAGGTCACAGACACCATGTAGGGCCGGGAGTGGGGCTTCACCTCGTGGCCCCCAATGATCCGGGCTCCTCTCGAGCCTGCAGGCAGGGCGGGGCGTGTCAGGGAGGGACAGAGAAGGGGACTGGAGGGCTCGCGCACCGGCTGGGGTGGGGGCGGAGTGGGGGCGAGGCGCCCGGACCAGGGCCTTGGGTGAGCTGGGAGGGGTCCTGGGCCTCCACCCCAGTCCCCAGTCCCAGCTGAGGCCACGAGGGGCGGCGACCCAGAGGGGTGAGGAGCTGCACCGGGTCGGTGGCTCTTACCTGGGGGCCCCGTGGGCAGTGTGAGGGCCACAGACGCGACCAGCAGCAGGCGGCCCAGCCCCGACGCCCCGGGCCCCATGGCTGTCACTGGCGGGTGGCTCCCTCCAGAGCTCTGCAGGACATGGCCCCCGCCCTCCCCGAGGGGCCGGGAAAGGGGGAACCTGACTGTGGCCTGTGGTTGGAGTCGGCCAGGCCGCACCAGCAACGCCCAGTTCTGTGCAGGCGTCTCTGCGAAGCGTCCTGACTCCCCGGCCTGGGCCGCCAACAGTCCAGGGGGGGGGGGGGGGGGGGGGGGGGGGGGGGGGGGGGGGGGGGGGGGGGGGGGGGGGGGGGGGGGGGGGGGGGGGGGGGGGGGGTAGGCATGGGGCCCCAGGGGCTGCCTGCCTGGGGCAAAGCCTGGCTCTGCAGGGCCCGGTGACCCCAGGGCTCCCTGACTGCTCTGAGCCTTGGTTTGCCTGCATCTGCCCCCGGAGCGCGGGCAGGGGGCTTCCCACAGCAGCTGGTACGTGGCCGGCACGCACCGCGCCCACAGCTGCCTCCCAGGGGTGTGGCGCTGACCCCCCCAGCCGAACGGGGCCTGGCCCACTGCCACCTGATCCCCACGTGCACCCCAGCCCGACCTCGGGGCTGCGAGTCCCCGGAAAGCCCTGAGATGGTTGCTGCCTTTGTTGCACTTACTGAGTGCCTACTGTATACCAGCCTCTGGCAGGAGCTGGAGACGGGAGTGTGACCGAGGCCCCCGCCCACGGTGCTGACGTCCTGCAGGCTCAGGCGATGGGGGACACGGTGAAGCACAGGCTGTGGTGACGGGTCCCTGGGGCCCCAGACGCAGAGGCTGGTGCGGGAGGGGCCTGGGGAGCCTGTCCTGCCCCACCCACCAGTGAGCCTGACCCAGGACGCGGGTGGGGACATGGGTGTGGGCGTCTGGGAAGCCGGCTCCCCGCGCACGCCTCACCACCCGGCGCGGGCAGCGGAGGGCGCCTCTCGTCAGGGCCCCTCGCCAGGGGCGATGCCGGCACCCGGGGCCGGTGGGCTCGGCGGCTGCCCCGGAGGGTCGCCTGACACTGGAGTGCCCCTCCCACCTCTGCCGGCCCGACCACCTCGCGGGGCCGGGGAGGGACGGTGGCCATGACAGGGCAGCAGGGCAAAGCCACGCGATGCCAGACGCGTCCTGCGGCTGCAGCCCCCCAGACCCGCAGCCCAGCCCCAGCCCCCCTCCAGGCCCCGACCGCTCACTCGGCTTCAGGGACGCCATGCAGAGGCCTCGGGGCGCCACCTCTCAGGGTCCCTGTGGGGCAAAGCCGGGAGAGGGGAGCCTGTGACCACAGCCCCAGGTGCTGCCCAGACTTGAACTTGCCTGGCGTGTCCGTGTGACTGCCAGCCTCCGGGCTGCCGGGCCCGGTCACCCCACGCTGGTCCCGATGGCCCTGGGCTCGGAAGCCCTGACACCCGGGGCCCCAGGGAGACCTGTCTCCCCGCTTTTCCGGCTTCCAGAGCAACGCAGGGTCGGCCCACCTCTCTGCCTCCTGCTCGTGAGGACGCTGGGCCCCCGGGCACCCAGGTGACCCCGCTTCACGATACGACAGGTCCCTCACCCTGGGACCAGGGCAGGGACGTGTTTGGGGCCGTGGTTAGTGCCCCCCAGTCCACGTGGCCATTAGATTGCCGGGGTCATGACCCCACTCCACAGACAAGGCCCGGAGCCTGGAAAGCGGCAGGTGAGGGTGGAGCGGCTGCCTGGAGGCCGTGGCCCGGAGCGCGGGGCCCGCGACGCGAACGTTACTCTGAGCCACCGAGCCTGCGGTGACGCGTCAGACCAGCCGCCCCGAGAACCTGCCGGGAAGACACCACAAGGTGGTGTCACGGTTGCTCGCTCCCGCCGGCATCCGACCTCACGCGGCCCCCAGAGCCCAGCCCCAGCTGGCGGCTGTCTGCTCCGGGCTCCACGCACCCGCTGAGGGGCTGGGGGGTCCCGGCCCGAAGCCACAGGGGTCCCCTTTGGCCCTACAGCCTGGGGTCATCGGAATGGTTTCTGTGCCCGTGACCGATGGAGACACTGATACACAGAGAGGGTGAGTGCCTCGGCCAAGGTCACACAGCGAGGGAACGACGGGCAGGGCTGCGGCCTCAGGCCAGCGCTGCTGCCTCTGCGACGGCTGATTCTGTCCACAGCCACGTCTATTTCCTTCCCATCTGGTGAATGATTATGAAACAAATAACCGTCCTTCGTCCTTGGTGGTCAAACAAGCAAGATCTCTAAAGCCCTGAGGAACGGGGTGGGGGCCAGTGTTTCCATTTCCCAAACTGAGGCCCAGAGAGGGAGCCTGACTCGTCCGGGCTGCACAGCACGGGGTCCACCATCCACAACTCTGGACTCCAGTCCTCGAAGGGCCTCCCCGCGGAGGACTGGGCGGCTCTCCCGTTCAGAGCAGACTGAGCCGCGGTGATGGCGAGGACGACAGTGAGACCAGAGCCCCTTTACTGAACACTTAGTTTGTTATTGACTTGTTGGAGCTCTTTGCATGTTGAGGAGATTAACTCACGGTCAGTCAGATGGATTTCTTTTCCTGAGCAACAATCGGGTGCAGAGAACGCAGCCTCCCCGGGACGACGTGCAGACGAGACCCCAGGCTGCCTCAGCCGAGCTGGCGGCTACATCACCTCAAATGGTCGCGTCTCCTGTACCTTTGGAAGCTGGGGCGCCCAGGGCCATTCTGCCGTGCTGCTCTGTGCAGGGCCAACCTGAGCTGGGGAGGGGTCCTCTGGAGCCCCTCCCCTCTGGGTACGCGGCCTCTCGCGTCTGGCTCACCCCTTCCCGGGCCCTGGCAGGGGTGTGGGGACCCGGGGGGTGTGGGGACCCGGGGGGTGTGGGGACCCGGGGGCGGTGGGGGGACCCAGGGGCGAGTCCCAGGCCCGTCTCAGCACCCTCGACGCTCTGTGTAAATAAGAGTCAGGGGAGGGTCTCAGTTCTCCTCACTGTGGCTTCGTGAGCCCCTGGCCCTGTGCATGCCCCACACCTGTCATCTCCACCTGACGAGTGGAGGAGCCCAGTGACCTTCCTGGGGTCGCCCGCCTCCCGAGAGCACCCCCAGTTGCCTGATGACGTAGCGGCCCCAAGTCTACCCGGGCCCCAGCCCTGTATGCATCGCATCCATATTTGCCCGCGTCCTGGGCCAGGGTGTGGAGACGGGGTCAGGAGGCGCACCCCCTCACAGCCAGGGTGAAGGAGAGGTTCCCGGGCCCGCAGAGGTGAGGTGGGGGGAGTGTGTCTGGAGCCACGGAGACTTGAGAAAAGCTTACGACCTTCCCTGGAGGCTGCAGGCGCGGCGTAGGAGCCCAGGGACCCCACTTAGCCTGTCTGTGCCGGGGGCTCAGCCCTGGGCAGGAGCCGTAGCAGCACCTAGAACAGGCCCGGGCCGGGGGGACGGGCAGGCGTCCCTCGGCGACCCTCTGTCTGACCCTCACACTCTGTTTCTCTCACTTAAAGGGCTTTCCAGGGAAATCACTTCTTGCTCCTTGAAACGGATGGCGTGCTGCCTCGCCCAAGGGTGCCCGGTGTCCCGCCAGCGCCTCTCGGACTCGGACCCCGCACTTGCCAGGGCCACAATGCACGTGGCATTGACAGAGAGCCGAGGAAGGGGTGCAGGAGTGAGTGCCTCGTACACGGGGATCCTCGAGCGAGCCTGTTCCTCCAGTGGGTAAACTGCGGCTAGAGGGCCCGAGCCCCACCAACTCTGCCCGCCTTGTCTGCCTTCATGGCTCCGGATTTCCGACTGGGGAGGGCCCTGCGGGAAGCAGCCTGGCCAGGGCCCCCCACACCTGGGGAACAGGTCACCCTGGGGCATCTTGAGAGTGTCCGCAAAGGGTCTGCACGGGGCTGGGCGCCCACCGGCAAACAGCACCAGCACCCTCTTCCCCACGGGGGGAGTCAGAGCGCACAGCGGGAGATGGGAAACCACTCATCCCACGGGAGTTTACTGAGCACCTACTGTGTGCTGGCCCTTGGGTGCTGGGGACACGGCAGGCATCTGATGGGGACGCATCAGGGAAGACATCCTGGTGACAGTGGCATCCACAGAGGAAGCAGGGACACCTGGGAGGCACGGGGGACAGGACACAAGGCCTGAGCTGGGGTCGTGGCTGGGGAAGGGGGGGGCGTCTGACTCAGTGACAGGGGAGGAGTGGGCTTTGGGGGGCCGACACGGAGCCCAGTGTGAGAGCCTCCTGACGTGCCAGGGCCTCAGAGGATGTCCTGGGGGCAGGAGGTCAGGGCAGGGCCAGGGGTGCTGGGCAGAGCCCCGGGGGGCATGCCCAGGAGGAGCAGAGGGGAAGGAGTGTCCAAGTGGCCGGGGGAGGGGTGAGCCAAGGGTCTAGTGACTGACACCCCCCCCCCGACTGGGATGCGGCCGCAGGGCGCCGAGCGGAGAGGAGGGGAAGTGGGTGATGCGGCTGCTTCTTGGGGAGAAAGCTCGGCTCCAGCCCACCGCGCACCTGCCGGCCACGTGTGCCGCCTGCCCAGGCGCCCAGCCACCATCTCTGCCTGATGCCCCCCGGCTCCTCTGCTGCCTCCTCCAGGGTGGTCCCCAGAAGGCGCTGCCTGTGCACCTGAGTCTGTGAATGTTGGGGTCCCTGTTCAGGGACCCTGAGAGCCTCAGGGAGGGCTTTGCTTTCGATTAGAGGGAGGCGGGCCCCCTGGGAAGTTTGGGGCTGGGAAGGGACAGGAATGGTTCGTGGGGACGCGGACCCTGCGCCCACCTGCCCGGCTCCGACAGTACCGTCTCCTTTCCCTCCCGTTCCCGGACAAAATGCAAACCTCAAGCCTTGCATCATTTATGTAGTAGACAAAAGGCGCCCCCTCTCCGAGGACAAGGCTTCTGTGACCCTGGCGCCAAACAGTGTCAGGGCAGCAGTAGGTGCACAAGAAACGTTTGGGGGCTTAATGGACACAGAGGCAGGGGCGCAGTGGCGAACGCACACACAGCCCACTTCTGCTGAGCACTTAGCGCGGGGTCAAATCTGGCCTGGCACCTGTTTTCTACACAGTTTTGCTGGCACACAGCCGCACGGACGCCCTTGCGTGTTGCCTCT